TTGCTGACAAAGATGTTGAACAGTGTCAGTGCCAGCACTGACCCTTGGGGGACACCACTCATCACTGGTATCCACATGGACAATGAGCCACAGACCACAACTCTCTCTGTGTGTGACCATCCAGCCAGTTCTTTATCTACTGAGTGGCCCACCTATCAAATCCATGTCTCTTCAATTTAGAGACAAGGATGCCATGTCATGTGGGACAGTGTCAATCACTGTGCATAAGTCCAGGTAGATGACATCAGTTGCTCCGCCCCTATCCACAAATTCTGTGGCCCCATCATAGAAGTCCACCAAACTTGTCAGGCATGACTTGCCCCTGGTAAAGCCATGTTGGTTATTACCAATCACCTCTTTGCTGTTCATGTGCCTAACCACAGCTTCCAGGAGAATCTGCTCCATGATCTTGCCAGGCACAGAGGTGAGACTGACTGGTTGATAGTTTCCAGGTTCTTCTGCTTTCCCCTTTTTTTAAAATGGATGCTGATTTCCCTCTTTCTTGGTGAAGATGCAGAAGATTTTACTTCTGATAATTTTCTTTAACATGTATAATTAGGCAGTGGTTAAAATAGTTCTGCTTGTTGTTGAAACCATTACAACCTTCTTGGAGCAGGGTCTGTAGTGCCATCCTTGGTGGCAGGCAGACCACCACAATTGTTTCACCATCACCTCCTGATTACAGTGGACTGTGTGTCCTACTGTGAAGGTATCCAAGACAGTTCAAGTGCCCAAAGCAGTACAGACCCTGTAACACACAGCTTCTGTCTCTCTCTACACTGCACATTTGTGCAAGTATAGTGTATATTTGCATATTTTTGAACTCTAATCCAGGTCTTCTTGGAGTCAATGGAATAACTCCCATCAACTTTCATAGTATGAGAAGTTCAGTACAACTGCAGATAAAGGGCCACATTCATTCATAGGTGATCTGAGGTGGCTTGTGTCCTTATTCAGAATCCAAGAACACCACTTAATTTATTGGGGTTAACACTGTTAAAATGTTAAAGAAAGTGGCAACCACAGAATAAGGTAAATGTGTCTTTAATGTGTCTCTTTATAATTGCTGCTTTTGTGATCCCTCATCTTTTGACTATGATGTCTGCAGTGCTAAGGGTGCTTATGACAAATTAATCAGTAGTTCTAGGTAGAATTGACTTAAGGAGGGAACAAAAAAGCAACTGCAGTACACAACAGATCCCTAAGTTTGGTTTCTAAAACACCAAGGTGTAGATTTCCTCATACAGACAAGTACTCAGCCAACTGGAATGCCCGTTCTGGGGACTCCTCTGTCCTGCTTAACAGGACAGTGCAAACAACACTTGCAACATGTCCGGGAACACTTTTCTTCTGACAAATGGGTGAGATCTCTAACTTTTATTGAATAGATTAGGCCTTGTTTTATTTGTTTTACTATTCTCATGAAATGTGCTATTGCTTTGTTAAAATTTCAGATGCAAAACCACTACATTTTTGTGTTTGCTAAGTTTTGCACCAAAGGTGACTTCTTTGTTTTACCCTTAGCTTTTTGGGGGTGGGAGAAGTTGGGGTGAGATGCATTACTATGTGTATCAGTGCAACACAAATAGATTTAATTACAAAAGGTCAGGACTATTCACATGAAACATGGTTTTATTTTTCAGAAACTGGGTTGGACTTTAGAAAGAAGAAAATTTTTTCACCTTCACAGCCAATTCACTTGATAGAAAAATAATCACATTGCTAACATCTGCTATTATTTAGTTACTGTGTTCATTTAATTTTTGATACAGTATTCCTAATTGATGCATAACAGGGACAACTGGTTGTATATTTATCACTTCGAAGAGTCAGTCTATAATGCTTTATGTGTTGGCTTGTTCACGTGTTCAAATTTTGGTTTTGAAAATGCTGACCATGAAACTGCTTGTCGTTACCTTGTTGTAGGAGAGTCTTTCAGATTGCAAAGGGACAGTAGGGTTTCATAATACCATGCCTGGCCTCTAGCAGACTAATCACCCAAATTTTAACCCTTGTTTTCAGATTTAGGATACAAGTAGTATCTTCCCACTACACTGCAGTTGCCAAGTTTGTGTGAAGAGCTGGGGCGGGGGGGGAGAAGCAGTATATGATGAAGAAACAGATGTAAACAATTTTTCTCATCTTAAATGAAAAAGGGAAAAAAAGAGGCAAACACACATAATAGCAAAGAAACATGCCCTCAGTGCCTGCTTTGCATATGGTATACATGGGTTTACTTTGAAATATTGGAAATGGAGCATGAGTTTAGAAGTAGCCAAGTGTCACCTTCTTATATAAAGCATGTTCATAGTCTCAGTTTGAATGAGTATCTTCTAGATCTTTAGTTTTGCTTATTTGAGTCAGATACAGTTTTGATATAGCTCAAAACCATTCTTGCAAAATTTCTGTTGGTTCTATAATCTGGTTTGGCCTTAAATTACACACTTTTCTTCCCTAATTCTAATTTGTTTTCTTCTTATTGTGGTTATGATCTAGAGCTTGCAGGATCCTGTGAATAAACTAACAGAAAAAGCAGAAAAGGAGGACCCGCAGATTGAGGGCACCAATTCAGTGCCAGATCAACAGAGTCAGTAAGTCACATGTCCTATATATTAAAATAATAAGTATTTTTGTGTATAATCTGCTTTCTGGTTGCTAAAGTCACCAAATATTTGTCAGCAGAAATATAGACACAGCTAGCCTAATTCCACTGGTTAACAGTGAGCTCAGTACAAGAATTCCTGAAATGTTGTAATGTGTACATGAGAACTAGTAAATTTTATGATGAAATTAAGAGCTTTAAAAAGACCCATTAAACCCTTACATGTTTTTCATCTTTCTTAGCCTTCTTTTAATTTTTTCCAGCTTTTGTTTCATTTTTTCTTTATTACAAGAAATGGTAAACAACTATACATGGGAGCATTGCATTTCTCCTTTGAGCAGCATCTCCTTTCACCTGGGAATAGGATATAGATTACTGATTGCTCTGAGCAGCGATTAGTTTTTGTAATGTATCCAGCATCAGTTAGTAATCCAATGAAGCAGTAGGTACTTAGTATAAAGTACATCTAAGTGAGCTGAAGCTATCAAGGTTTGAGTTACCTGTAGCTCTGAGGTGAGAGAGACTTATGAATGGACTGCTATGGGGAGAGGAGAACAGGAGAACGAGATGTGATCCCTCCCCTACCAGACCCTCAGGATTCAGTTGCCAGGAGATGCAGTGTCGATATAATCCTGCTGCCACCTGTTGTTTTGACTATCCCTGCTTAAATGAAGCTCCCAGCAAAGGATCAGTTGTCAAAAAGCAGAGAACAGCTTGACTGATTATTGGATTTTGCTTGGCCATTTATAATAATGGGTTTTTAAAGCATTCAGGTTTTCAGTCCTTTCTCTTACTTAGATTCAGAACCACTGACCAAAACCAGTTTATAAATTGGTCAGATTTGGTGCTATTCATATTAGAAAGGACTTGACCAAGTAGCATTTAGCAGGTGGTTGTCTCCACAGAACTGCCTTCAATCTGTAGCATCTCATGTGACAACAGAAAAGAATTTAATAAATAACTGCTTTCCTCAATGTTGAATATAAAGTTCTAGAATGAGTGCATGATTTGTGGAAGATGTGTGCATTAGCACCTACTGGCAAATACATCAGATGCCATGTCATGGTCATACTTTTTTATTTATGGACTATTTTTTCCTTGACTGTCATAAAACTGAGGGGAAAAAAAAAGTCACCATTTTGCTGTCTAAAACCATTTTAAAAATTCTAAGATTCAAGAAGAATTACACAAAACAAAGCTTTGAAAATCCTCATGAACTTTCCATTCACAGTAAACATTCATTATACTAGAATTTGGCCTGAATCTAATATTCTTCTACCACAAGCCTACCCTCAAGAGCAGGGGAGGAGGTTCTTTTGGTCCTGTTACTAGAAGATAGGAGGAATGTGCCTACACAGGCCTTTTCACCACCACATCAGCCTTGTGGTTGTTTCATTCCCTACTCATTGAATGGCTTTACACAAAGTAATAGCAGTTAGAACATAGATATTCTTCATGAAGAATTTACCCTTGTATAAGAATTGCATCTAAACCACAGCTTTTTTTTCCTGTTGAGAGCTTTTTTCTTTAACACTGCTGATCTGGTCTTTCAGAAATCTGCTGACGTGGGACAAAACTCACCTGATGATTTTTGATTAGTTGCTGTTAAAAAGAGAAGTGCAGAGTGGTTGGGTTTCTTTTTGGTTGCCTATTTTTTTTGGGGTGGGGAAGAGCTGTACCTCCTTCATGATAGTTATGAAAGACCAGATCTGGAAAAGCAGAAGACATACTTTTAATTACAGATTTAGACTAAAAATGTTAGGTTTTGGTAGTTGGTCTATAAGTCTAATACTCATTTTCAACAGACTTCTGCCAATGAAACAGTAAAAGGTTACAACAGACCAGCACACAGAGCAAATGCAGGACTCATTCTGTTACTACTGGGTTTTTTTTACTGATATGGTTCTGTAACAATGGACCAAAAAGAGGTAAAGGTATTATTATTCTATAGCCTTAGAATTATTTTCTCAATTTTTTTTCTTACTCTTTCAAATTAAGGTTGATTTCATTAGATGAGGAGAGCCATACCAAGGAATTGAACTATCCAGGTATTTTATTTTATGTTATCATAACTTCATAAGTGCTGTAATAAATGGTTTTTTGTTTATTTGCTGTATGCTCAGCTTCACCCAGAAAATCCCTACAAAAGCATAAAGCTTAAGGCCAGGAAGACATGTTAAAACTAATCTCTTACATGTTACATCCCACTGCATTTCGTTCAGTCACTTTCAGATAGGTCTCCCAAAAGACTAATTCTTACCCTGGGCATGTACCTTTCCAGAAAGGGTTCTGTAGGTTAGTTAGGTGTTGAGTCAAGGGAGGTATGTCACTTAGTTCAGTAGTTTGTTCCACTGTTTAAACATGTACTGTGGAAAATCTTGATATATTCAGTGGAACTTCTGTCCAAAAGCCAGGCAAAGTCATGCTCTGCTGCTGCCAGTGACCTTGTTGTAATTACCCAGTGATACAGCCAAGGCTCCAGTTGGAGGTGCACAGAGAAAAAATGGGAGGCAATGGACACGAGTGACAGGAAGGGAAATTCTGAGTACATACTAAGGAAAAGGAACCTTCAAGATGATCTGACTTCATAGCTGAAGGGCTTGGGTAAGATGACCCCTAAAGGTCCTTCTGGCCTAAATAATTTATGGCTTATAATACATCTTTTTCTGTTAAATTAATGGAGAATAATTTTAATACGTTACATTTTATCCTACATGAACTACTACTATTACATGAAAATCAAGACTCCTCTCAAATCTTTATTTCAATAGGCTGACAGTCTTGATGTCTCGAAGACATCTTCTTTTCTCCTTTACTATTAAAGTTTTTATTTCCATTCTACTTTACAACATCTCCTTTCAAATATGAAATATATAACTGAACAAGAGATTTCTGATGTTGTTCTCACCCGTCATGTTTCTAAAAGGTAAAATCACAATCCTGTTTCTATATCCAAGAAGAATATCTCATTTTGCTGCAACATCGTGTTCAAAGCTCATATCTGAATTCATTGTTTATCAAGACTCAGTTCCTTTTGGTCACAGCTTTCCAGGACTCATTTGTCCTTTCTACAGCATGGCTTATATTCCTTATTCCTACAGGTATAACTCACGACTTGGTAGTATTAACTTCTCCCAGCTCTGACTACAGAAACTCAATGACTGACCTGACTGACCACCTCTAATACTCTGCTAGTTGTTTGCACAGTTTTTTCAAGAGTGATGTTGTGTTTACTTCCAGATGACTGCTAAAGCTATTGAATAGCAATGCATAAAACACTAAGCCTTGCAAATCTAAACTAGAAACACTTCTGCTTTGCAATTATTTCTCCTAGCAATGTGTTTTTGACATCTGTTAGTTGTCACGTTCCTAATCCATTCAATATGTTCGTTATAGATGTTACACAGTGCTAACGTTTAGCTCGAAGGCTATGCAGTGCAAAGTCAAGTTGTTTCTAAACAAATATATTTATTAAAATAAAGCTCATAGTTTTATCAAAGAATTAAATTAATTGCTTGTTGGGTTTTTTGATTAGGTCTGCTTTCCATAAAAACAACAATAAATTATTATAGGAGCATTTATTATGTTCATGTTCTTTTGCTGAATCCCATACGGAATGGCATTCCGTTAGTGTTTGAACTAGGAGTAATGGTGAGCTACCAGCCCATAGTTACCTGCAATTGCTTGAGTCACCCTGTGCAATTATTGTTGTTGTTTTGGTGGGGTTTTTTTGTAATAATGACACAATATTAGGACTTTACCAGTGTTTTGAAGTATCACACATTTTGCAATTAATTAGATCAGATATCTGTTTGAGAAGATATTTTAATATTCATGGAAACAAAATCTGACATATTTTCTTAGCAGATGATCTCTAGAGTCTCAGTTACTTAAGGACTGTAAAATATTTTGCCATAATACCAAGACCTTGTTCTTTCTCTTTGTCCATTGCTCCTAAAAGGAACTGAAGTATTTTGCAATACTTCTGCCTGCTCTGCTAAATTTTTCCAGCTCCATACACTAGCAGGTCTGTGCCAGTGCTAAGATCTGTTTTTTTCCAAAAGTACACTGTATGTATGAAGTAAAACAGATATAGTGGTTCTAGTCAGGGAACTCTCCTTCTTCTTAGTTTTCCTCACCAACTACTTCTATTTCATAACTTCCATTGGTTTTTTATCATTTCCTCTGCATTTTCCCCTTATATACTATGGATGTCTGTAAGATTGGCACCATCCTGTTTACCACTCAGCAAAGACAGGCTTTCAGCAACAGTTCTACTTTTTTCATTACAGAATTGTGGCCATCCATATCCCACCTGTCATGAATGTCTCTTTCTGATTTTGTTTCCCCTCTGCCAGTCAGTTTAGGGTTGGGCTTTTCCCCTTTAGCTTTGTGCATTGTCCTTTTATGAAAGCATCATATAAATTTGTTCATGTGTGTTTATGCTTCTCCTATCTGTAGCTGTATAGAGTATAATCAGGTATCATGAGCCCTGAAATGACCTGCTGATTCTAGTGCTGGTAGCACATTTCTGTTACTGTCCTAGCAAAGCCTTATAAAATAATATGACACAAACAGCTGTTTCATTTAGTTCTGAACACATCTTGAAGTTTCTCTTGAAAGAGTTTGGCATTCAATTTTTATTCCTCTATAGAGCATTTCATTTCTTCTTTCCAGCCTCTCATGTGAGGCTTTCAGCAGATGGAACTTCCAGTTCTGGCAATACTGTGACCAAACTCTTCCTTTGCCTTTAGAGCTACAAACTCAGTTGCCTAGAAGGTAGATTTCCCCAACAGTTAATGGGGAGAGAAAGGCATTTTCAGCAGGTAGCTCATCCTTCCTGGTTTGCTACATATCTTAAATGGAATTAATCACTTGATGGAGGTGTCTTTCTCTTCACTGCTAGACAGAATCTAGATGATTGTTTCAATTCCACGTCTCATCTAAGAAACCTGCTGAGAATTTAAGACAGCGGTGTTTTGTCACTTCTGATAGCCTATAACCCTCAGCTATACATTTTCCCTCCTACTGGTCTTAGCCCATTTATTTTCCTGCAGAGGAGATAATGTTACCTGGGATACTTTGGAGGAAGATTCCTTTTCCCTGTTCCTAGAGTTGGTGTCATGAGGAAGAACATATTGTCAAGGAAGGCAATTTAGCGAGTGATGAGGTCCTGACACTTTTCTGCTCCCTCCTGGCCTGTCTAAGTATGAGCTTCCGAAAGAAGTGTCTCTGCATTTGATGGACAATAGAGACCTATCTGATTCTTGCAGTTGCCTCAGTTGGGTGCACTCAGCCTGGACAGGGTCTGGTGTGACAGGCAGTGATTCAGAGGAAGGTGCACCACCAGTCAGAAATTTGCCTCGCTTCTTCGAAATGCTTGTATCTTCAATCTTTCACCCCTTGTGACCAGGCTCATTTGAAACATGAACACCAGCAACCCTTGCATGTTGATTTTATAGTGACGTTGTTTATGAGCACAGGCTCCTGCCAAGTGCAATTTGACATGTTTATGGATCTTGATTATGGCTGATGATGGCAAGGATGTCATATCCATGTTACAAGGAAATTGTAACCACAAGCAGAACTCAGGTGAAGGGACTTAAGAAAATTAACTTTAGATGTATACATACTGATTATCAGTGTACTGCAGATCTTGATTTGTGGCTGTTCATTTTTCTTTTTTTCCTTCTTTTTTTTTTTTTATTTTCAGGTGCCATAGATGACTTACTAGACCTGCAACCTGAAGAAAATGGTATGAAATATTTGTGCATATCTGTTTCATCTGCTTTTAAATAGTCACCAAGTACAATTTTCAACTTAGATCTCATTGTTTTCGCAATCTGAAAAGTTGAATGATATTATTCAGCTGCAGTATTTAAATAGTGTTAAAGGAAACTTGCAGAGTCAGTATTCCTGATCTTATAATGGAAGTAAACCTTACTGTGGATAAAATGTTTTGTACCAGGAAATTCAAGGTTAGGTAGACTGGGCTATATCCTGTTTGCCCCACTGAAGTAGATTCCACTGTAAACCTTACCCCCCTATAACATTTCACAAACTTTTCTTTTTGGTTCTTTAGTTGTTGTACCACAACTCTTGGCAAGGCACTAGTAACCACAGGATTTTGTGTCAGAAATGTACGTATCAGAAACAAATGATTTAGTCTTCTTAAAACCATGTTAGGAATGGTGACTTCTTTCAGCCAGAGAGTTAATTAAATCCATTGTGCTGTTCTCCTACACACAAGAGAAAACAATCTTTGATTCCAAGCTCTGCTCTTACCGTTATGCCTCTGTTAGATCCATGACAGTTCAAGGAGATGTGCTGTTTTACCATGTAGCATATGAAAGATCCAGATAAAAGTTTTATATTGAGTTTTCATACAAAGTAAGAGTATTGCCTATAATTTTTCACTTGCTCTTCACTCATACATCTCAGAAGAATGAGTAAAAAACACTTTAACAACAACAACTGTGGCAACTCAAAAGGCAAATAAAGAAGCAAAGCAAAAATATCTCGTGTGGTTTAGTCAGTTAGACTGAGAGCATAATTTGGGATATTTAAGACACTGCCTCTATGGTAGGTAAGGAAGAGAGCATTTGCAAACACCTTGGCTTTGGATTTGCCACGGGCAGTCTCTTGCAGTGGGGGGAAATTACCCATATGAGGAATCACCCATGAAGGCAGAAACGGGAAGTTCTTCAACTGTCTGTGTGTTTCAGAAGGAAGTCTATCCTATGTTGCTAATCATGTACTGCTGTAAATATTTTTGGTTTCTCTTCCAGTTTTGTTTTTTTTTAATTTTTTTTACATTTTTAAATACTACAGAGAGAGTAGTCAGTCATTGGAACAGGCTGCCTGGGGAGGTGGTGGATTCACCATCCCTGGAAGTTTTCAAGATTAGACTGGATGTGGCACTTAGTGCCATGGTCCAGTAACAACGATAGGGTTGGACTCGATGGTTTTTGAGGTCTCTTCCAACTCAGTTGATTCTGTTCTAAAATGTTTGCAAAGGAATACAAGCATTGCTAGAGGCTTGTTCAAACAACTACAAAAAGAATATAGTGACATTGTTCTTTGTGTTTTACTGGGATTTTGGATTTTCTTTCATGGACATTTATAAGGTTAGGGGCAGCATGTGCAGACAAAAAATGGATTTTGACTGTGAAAATGGCCAGTGAAAACAGAGAAACAGGAAAAGAAGTAATAGAAGATTTACAGGTGATGTAAGAAAGTCCATATCATTCTAGTAATCTAGCAGAGATACCACAAGAGAAGTATCTCGGTAAGCAAGACTGGTTTCAAGATAACCTGTATTGCAAACGAGGAGAACTTTCTGCTGCTTCTTAATTGTGGTAGCCTGAACATAAACACCACCCTGTCCTCCCCTGCCGTGGGTGCAAGGTCCACACAGGAAGATCAAAGACTGCTGAGCCAAGGAATGTGTCACTCCTGAGATTCCTGGTGGTCGTACACACTGCAGCAAGACCTAAGTGCTCTATAAAGCTGTGTGTTGTACTTTCTCCTCCAGTAAAAGTGGGACTCCTGCAATGGTTACCCAGATGAAACAGAACTCTGCTACGAGCTTTGCTGCTGCATTTGTTCCGTTCTAGGTCACTTGTGGTTAGGTATGGTGTTGGTGGTATGTCTTAGCAGATCTGTTCCGGTTGCTGCTCCCTTTGCATCTCCCTCTGCAAGCCTTCCAAGCGAACGCAGCTTTGAGATGGTGATGCCCCACAGAGATCAGAGTTCTTAGTGCCTTTGAAATAGCAGGTGTGTTTCCCCTATGGAAGGATTTTACCCCTCTGCCTCACCTACTGAATAACTTGGGGAAATTGTAGGTGCTTGGACAATATGAATATTCTCTGCTGTCTATCTGAAGATAGGAAAACAGCCTGAAAATTCATGAGAACAAATTGTTTTCTGTGGTATTTTAGTTATAGTCTAGTGGGAACGTCAGGAGAACTGACGTGTTTGTGATGTCCCTATTTGTAATTTTTGGGCCCTCACAGGGAGTACAGAGGTGTATAAAAAATGTGAATTAGAAAGGAGTTAAATCTCACAGCCAACTTCACTAATGAAGTGTGTTGGTTTATTTGTTTCCTAGTACGTAGGTGTGTGTGCTGACGCATCAGCCTATTTTAAAATACAGTTTTGCACTTTTTTTCCTCCTCTGACTCAAATCCAACCATTTCATTATAAATCGTTGCAGCTATTAAAAGGAAACTTTCCTGAGAAGGCTTCTGCATTTCAGTAAAATGGCCTGTTGTATGTTAGTCAGTCTTTTATCCCAACCCAAAAGGGTTAAAAACATCTTTGCCAGTGGTATGCAACTTGGAGAGCTCAGCTGATCTTCCCAAACCTTGGAAAACTGAAGTTGCTTCTGTGCCTTACCACCAGTTTGAAACAAGCATAATTAAGATAAACTGATCTGGATTTCAGTAACGTAACATTATCAGCCTTGTTAACCACCATTTTTGTGATTTGCAGACTCCCACAGTGGAGCTCCAAACGTTTCCAAGTAAAATAACACTTGGGGTTCCTTGATAGTTCTTTCACTTTCCAAATATTTTGGAAAAGGATTATGATCCTGGTTACCAGTTTCATGTATTTTATATAACTATTTAACATCTCTAAAATCAGAAAAACCTGTTTTTAAGGAGTAATCTTTCAAATGATCTAAGAGCTTCTTCAACTGCAGTTCTGGTGCTGGAAAAACACAGGGAATCAGAAGGAAAGTGGGCCCCAGTTGTTTCTCAGCAGCTTAAGAGAAGGAATAAAACTGCTAAAGCATTGAACAGTGTAGAAATCTAACTTTTTATAATAGAGTAACCTTTTCTCATGGGGGAAGTACCTCAGTAATTCAAGCATTGGTCAGAAGGTAATAAAGATGATCTTAAGCATGTTCTAACAAAATTCCAGAATAATCCCCAACTCTTTTTTTTTTTCCAGTTTATACCAATCTGATTTTTTTGACAATTTCATTTATTTCAAAAAGCAACATAAAAATAAATGTAAATGTTTTAAATATTAGACAGTGTAATGATTTTGGTGTATTTAATAGATTTTTAAGCATACCTCTAGTATTATTTCTAATGAGAAGTGAGTCTAGTAGCAGTGAGGTTATCTAACATAATCAAGGAATTATTTGTTGCATAAGGTACAAGCCCAGATGTCCAACACAATTGTATCTAAAATATTCTTGCAAAAATATTCCATCTCAATTAACACACAAAACCTAGATTGGTTATTTTTAAAAACGTTCCTTCCTTTCTTTGTCTAAAAATGATTTCTCTTGGCTCTTGTTCTGAGACAGCTTCAAAGCAACAGTTTGTGAGGTCCTTGGAGCCAGAACCTGGTGATAAGGATGACATGCTATTACTGAATGAGATCCTCAACGCTTCCTCCCTGGATGAGGGGGAATTCAGCAAAGAGTGGACAGCTGTTTTTGGACAGGTTGCTGATCTTACCATGAACTCTTCAACTAAAGATGGGGAGAATGCTTCATCGTCTGTGGTACCAACGCCATCAGGGTACTTGCCCTCACAGCTGCTAGACCAAAACATGAATGACTTGCAGTCGTCTTTACATGGTGAGAGCTCATCTTGGTCTGTTAGTGTGTTGGGGTTAGGTTTTAGAGTATGGTTTCCTGGTATGTAGAAGTGTCATGACGGTTTATAATGTGCCATAGCTGCAGAAACCCTGAAGCTAGAGCAGACTGTGGCCTGGAGAAAAGCATGTGAGTATCATATTTGTTTTTCTAGCCCTGTTCAGTGTTTATGACAAAGCACCTAAAACCTAAAGTCAAGATTACTGTCTCAAATGTTTTCATTGAACTTCCTGAAATGTTCTGTAGGCATTTGAGATTTATTTTTTCGAGAAACAGAAAATATGCTTGAGTGGGCTTCACTGTTTAAATGACAAATGCTGTCTCTGCTAAGGGGCCAAAGAGCCAAAAATAATTGCTGTATTTTGTTTGGGGATACTATTTTTAAATGACATAGTGAAAATCAATTCATTTTTTGGGTTTTGTTGGGTTTTTTTCCCAAGATATCCCATAATCTTGCATGTAGGGATATGGATAAGGTAGAACAGGTTGTCTAGGGAAATGAAAGAGGGGACCTAAGGCAGTTTTTCTGCTGCTGCTTTGGCCTGGAGGAAGGGAGGGAGGAAAGCAGACTGGTAATAAACAGCCAATAGCAACCACCTTCATCCTCCCCACTGTCCAGCTGGATTTCTTCTAGGGCTTTGCAAGCTGAAGGAGGACCTTGTTTTTTTGGGTGCTGTCCCAAGTCATTTAAATCTCATTTGGAGAAGAGTGATGTAGGAAGGACTAGGCTGATTCTATCCTGAAGACTACTTGGAACCCATGCAACAAATAGAATCATACATGATGTAAAATGACCTATGATATTTTGACAAGAATGAAAAAGTCAAATTTACCTTAGAATTAATACAGTTACCACCACCACCCCTAGAACAGGGTACTCGAGTTTGCTGACTTCAGCACTTAGAAGGAAAATGGGGGAATGACATTTGTAATGATGCACAGTTTTAGATGCATTTTTATGATAAAGTACATGATTTTAAGCAAATTGCTGAAAATAGCAACAGAAATATTTTAAGATTGTTTTTGCCCCTCAGCTTCGCATATTTTAAAATATTTTAAATTTAAATATAATTTACATTTGAAATATAAATATGTTTATGAAGGAAAATTATTTTTGAGGTATAAATAGCAAGCAGGATTGGGTATCCTTTCTGAGGCAGCTGTTAGCTCTCATTTGCACAAGGCACTGGCATTGGCTGCAGTGTTAGAGACTTCAGAATCACAACTCAGGTATGTTGCATTCAGGGAACACTAGAAATGGAAAATCCATTCCAGTCAGTTTGGTATCCCAAAATTCTTTTGAATAAAAAGAAGAATAAATCTGTACTGAAAGAGTAAAATATGTTGATGTTTTCAAATGGATTTCCAAGGTTTTGGCAGAAGATCATGGTAATTGATCTACTGGCATTTGAAAAGTCAGGGCTAATCAGCTGAGTGGTTGTATCTGATAATCAGCATGTTCCCAGCTGACTTTATTTGCCAAGTAAAATGCATTGTTTAAACTAACTTTCATAAATTTTCTTTTAGAAATTTTTATTTCTTATTTTTTTAACAGAAGGTGAAATTTGGTCCATTTTATATCTTGTGAAAACTCAGCTTTAATCTTAAACTACATTTCACTTCACAACATTTCTTTCATCATTTGACCTTATGAATAAATATGGTAGCAGAGACTTTTTTTGTAAAACAAAACACTAACTGGAATATAAGCATATCTAGACATAAAAGTTGAAAATATTAGAAGACATGAATTATATTTTTACTGAGGACTTGTGATACATCTCCTACTCTCTTTTTCCCCCAGCAGTTGGTAGGATTGCTTAATTCAGTGTGAGGTGCTACTCTGTAGCCTCCACATTGCATACTTCCTGTGTGAATTTGGCCTTGAGACCATAAAGATTCTTAAAACTCACATGCTTAACTTTAAGCACATTAACTTTTCTATTAACTTCAGTGGGATTACTTACTTATTTTACGTTAAGCACGCTCATAAATCTTTGGGGCTTTGTTTTCTCTCTGCCTCAGATCTTAATCTGTAAAACAGGCACAATGCTATGCAGGTTATAAACTGTTATGGTCAGGAATTCCCAGCTCGGACTTTTCTCTGGCTGTATTTATAGGCAGGATCTAGCACAATGGGACTTTGACTTGCTGTGGGGCTACCAGGTGCTGGTTTAAAAGACATATAAATGTGTGTGTGTGTGTGTGTATATATATATCTGTTAGAAACAAAGCATGCTCCCAACAAATCCTTTAGATTCTCCTCCAGATACAGCTTTGTAGCTTGCTTGCCTTTCTGCTTTTTCAGAGGAGCATTGGCTTCCTCTTTTCATTGTGTTTATGGCCTCGTTTACTTACTTATTCATACCATTAAGGGCTCCTCTTTATCGTCCCTCCACGTGCATATATTCTGGTTGGTAAGAAAATGTGTGGCTTCCCATTTCCATTTTAAATTTAATTGTTTGATGTTTGTGAAGATGTTAGCTGAAAAGCAAGCTGTTTGGTTTCCTTGCTGTCTTGGCAATAACCTTTTGTCTAGTCATGTAACAAAGTCATCCTCTGAACAGGCAAACCAGAACAGGCTTGGGGCCAACAACTACTTTCAAATTGATAGGCTGTGGTTTGTTTTTGAAAGGCAAAGTTGTTCTCTGTAGCTCACTAAAAACATAATTTGTGAAAGTACTTAATAAAAATTCTGTGTCCGTCTTTCCCAGTACCTTCGTGGATGGCTAAGTTCGTGACAAAAACATCACATTTTTTCTGGAGCATTTTTCGTTGTTTTGGGGGTTTTTTTGTTGCTGTTGTTAGGTTCTTTTTGTTTTCTAAGTGGCACTTTACCTGCATTTCAGTGAACATTTTTCTGGATTTCGTTGTTTTGGGGGTTTTTTTGTTGCTGTTGTTAGGTTCTTTTTGTTTTCTAAGTGGCACTTGTTCTACCTGCATTTCAGTGAACAGAGAGCCAGACCACAGCATCTCTCACGGATGTGCTGCCTACCAAGCCTTAGTCCAGGGACTCAAAAGGAGAACTCCAAAGGAGTTAACTGGTCTGTGGTGTTTTGCTGTCTGGTCTGTCAGTCACACCAGTGTAAGGGAACATCAGTAGGTTCTTTTTGTTTTCTAAGTGGCACTTGTTCTACCTGCATTTCAGTGAACAGAGAGCCAGACCACAGCATCTCTCACGGATGTGCTGCCTACCAAGCCTTAGTCCAGGGACTCAAAAGGAGAACTCCAAAGGAGTTAACTGGTCTGTGGTGTTTTGCTGTCTGGTCTGTCAGTCACACCAGTGTAAGGGAACATCAGTGATGTCTTGGGGACCCAACTCCTGATCTCACTGAAGTCACTAAGACTTGCAGAAAGTTTCCAGGCAGCACTTCCATTCACTCCTATGAAGTTAGGATTTGGCTTTATTTGTTTAAGCAGCTCAGTTTACCCATTGTCATTCACTGACATATCAAAACACTTTCTCAGAATACATCTCCAAACACACAAAAGCATTACAGTCTACTGTAGTTGTGTATAATGTCCTCTGCCACTCTCATTTGTAACACAAACTGAGAAAATGCCTGGAAAAGTTGTCATTCTGAAGAGTTAATGCCATACTTTTCATTATTTACAGTTCAGATTTGCTTATTTGAAAGATTAAACTCTAAAACCTCGTTTTCAGGGGACACAGGTTGCTCACAAGCCTTTATCACCTTTGTCTAGAACAAATACGTGTGAGCACTGCATCCAGATTTTGAAGAAGTTTTTGGTTTGTTTCCTTAGAGATACAGAGGATGTTTGTGGCTTTAAATTTCCTTCCTAATTCATGTGATTTTGCAGAAACATTCTTCTGCCTCTTTTTAATAACAGAGCTTGGGCTTCAAACCTTTTATAGCCAGGCTAAGATCAGAGAGCGATGACATTAATTATTACAGAGAGGAAAGGGTTGATATGACTCACGTGGCTGTTGCAGGAACTGTTGGGACACTGGGTACACATATCTGACAGGAGGCCCAAAAGAGCAGAAAGTAAGGGGAGGGCAAGACAAAAAGAGTGAAAAAGGATGTGAGAACATAAACTGGTAGAAAAAGAGGCTGAATAAGGAAATGCTAACTGTGTGCACAGATGAGCATCCTGTTTGTGATACTGCCGAGTTAGATAGATAGACTAGATCCCTGAGATGGATGGACAATTGATCAGGCCACACTTAAAGGAGATATTGATGACAACAGAAATACAACCTCCAGTCCTCTAAATGCGATAAAGAGTAAGAATTTAAATATCTTAAGCCAGGGACAAAAAATGCTCTATTTTTTCCTCATATGTTTCTGCAGTATACCACCCCAGTTCATTTTGCCAGCCCAGCTCATCTGGCCTCATTGACTGTATTTATCATTACTCTTTCATGGTAATGGAATATGCATGCGAGAACAAAAATTTGTGCATGCTCAGTTTCACTTTTCCCTGCATAGTCACCTCTCCTTGCTGAGCAGATGCTTTCAAAGAAAGAACAAAAAAATTATTCCATTAAAATGTAGTTTTAATTTGACTCAAAGTAGTGCATCTTCAATTTAATTCTTCAGGGTTTTGCAATAATATTTTTTTTCAGCATTAATAATTTCAAAATTAACTAAAAAATCTAGGGTCTCTAAATATGTTTTTTTGTCTGGAATAATGGCTGAAATGAAAGTCTTTGGAACTGTAAAAGTAAAGAAAGGTGGGAAATATTTATTATGTGTGATATTTTCACCCAAATGTAAGTGATATTCTTCTCCCTACAGCTATGTTTGACTGGATTACTGTACTGCCTTTCTGTGAATGAGTACTAACCATGATTCACTAAAAGAAACAAAAATCTTTTTTAGCCAGGTTAAAGGTTTGAAAAGAGTACAGTTGCCTGGATCCAGAGATGCTGAATGTGATCCACAGATACTCTCTTCTTAAGGATGTTGCTCATCTGCAGCATCTAACTGCTGATTTCTTGTGTACAAGATATGAGTGGCCGAAGACATGATATTCTGTTCCACTGTCTAATGCTGCCAGACAGCGAGTGAGGTGTTGGAGTTAACAAAGTAATTCTTCACACTAATGCTGCTGTATTATTGAATTTTAGGATGGGCAGCAAACAGTGTGAGTCCCCCATCGATACCACAGCCAGCGCAGAAACCACACGGCCTGAATGTGAACGACAGCAAGGCACCCGTGAAAGGTGGTAGTCATGTATTTTTTTCAGTTATTTTGCTTTACCTTTTTAGCTGGGACTCTTGTATCTATCCAGTCTTCTCAGTTACTCTGTGACAACAAAACTTACTTTTGTAGTAGTTACAGGTTAATCTTGTGATCCCTAATTACTCTGTTCCAGCTTGATTAGGTGTGTGATATGTGTCTGTATGTTTATGTTTTGGTAGGCTTTGGTGCTAGTAGTATGTCAAAAGAGTAAGTTACTATATAATAAGGGAGCTGAAGCTATAGTTTCTTTTTACTGCTTTAATTTTGAGTCACACAGAATAGCATCTGCATGCACTTTGTCTAAGCTAAACAATGTTTTGAAGCTGTAGGATTTAGCACTATGGCTGAAACACAGGCTACTGATAAGGCAGAAGAGCCCTAATTGGAAACTCTGTTGATTAACATGTACCATATCAGTAATCATCTGTTTGAAACTTAATTCACTTCTTGCAATTGAGCCAAGAGTGCATAGTCCTGCTATCTACTGAGACAAAGCCCTGCTGATTCTGACTAGGGTTTTCTGGATAAGTGAACCAAAATATGCTGAATTCTTATTGCCAGTTTGTAGCCTGTTCTGTGCTTTCACATTTGATCAGAAGCGAAGTCAAAGATGTTCAGTGCAGAAGAAAGGGGTGACATGTTTTCCTTCCTCTGCCTGCTGGGATTAAAGGACTGACATTTTTCAGCTCAGCAGGTAAAAAAAAGAAAAGAGGGTTAAGGCGTTTGGAAATGAGTGTGATAGCACAGCCACAGGATCTGCACCAGCAAAACAAAGAGCCTTCAGCTACTTTGTGGTATACCAAAGTGGCAGATTCTCCAGCCTTGCAGACACTAAGCTGAGTGTCATGCCAGGCAGAGCCTATTTTGCCTTGGAATTCCTGGTGTCACAAGGAACGCTTTTGTGCAGTATTGTCTCTCCAAGTGGAAAGCACATCTTCTTTCACTGTCAATATAATATAGCTTAGGCACAGGGTCACAAAAAGCAAAGCAATTGGTGATGTACCTTCTTCATAGCAGCCAAAGTTGTCACTGCTTTAACCTGAACATCTGCCCTGCTGCAATAAGAGGTAGGATATCTCTGTGAAATATGTATGTCAGTATAGACACAGATGTGCAATAGTGCTGCTGTTGTTGGAACATATTCCTGACTCTCATTTTCTTATATCCATCAAAAAATACATCCTAAAACTTGAAGCTGTACTTGGAACTAGCTATCAAGTGTAACCTCTCTCCAGCCGATGCCTTCCCTTTAAAACTTAATTCCAGAGGAGTAATAACCTTGTGTGGTTGTATACAGGGGACACAGAACAGTCACATGAGCTGGATTTAGGCAAAGGAATTTAGTTCTGTAAGAGAGGTTGAAAGTAAAATTTGCCTTCACTTTCCTTTTGGTTTTTTTGCAGGCCTGCAGGTGTGCACAGAAATACCTTCCTTGTACCACAGCTAGACAGAGCTAGATTGCTTCTAGTTTTAATTAAAGTGTTCTTGTACTTATCATGGCAGGAGCCATATAAAATACACAGCAGACAGATGCAAAACATTCTTTCTTACTGAAGTTCTATATTC